CCCTCGCCTGGCCCTCCCTGCCTTCCCTGTGTCGAGGGGCGGCAGCGCGCCGCTCCTCACTCCTCCTCCTTCCCCCCGACGACTGCTCCCCTGCAGACCCTACACATGGACGTGTGGGGCCCAGCCCGCGTCCGCGGACAGGACCGCGAGCGGTACTTTTTGCTGGTCGTTGACGATTACACGCGTTACACCACGGTCTTCCCCTTGCGCACCAAGAGTGGGGTCCCTGATGTTTTGATCCCTTGGATCCGCGCTGCCCGTCTCCAGCTCCGCGAGCGGTTCGGGACGGACTTTCCCGTCCTGCGTCTGCACTCTGACAGAGGTGGTGAGTTTGCCTCTGACTTTCTACGGGACTTTTGTCGTGGGGTGGGCATTCGCCAGACGTTCATGCTCCCGGCCTCACCGCAGCAGAATGGGATTGCTGAGCACCGCATTGGCTTAGCCATGGAGGTCGCTCGTACCTCCATGGTCCATGCGACTGCCCCCCATTTCCTGTGGCCATTTGTGGTCCGATACGCTGCGCATCAGCTCAACCTCTGGCCCCGTGTCTCCTTACCGGAGACCTCGCCCACACTGCGGTGGACGGGGAAGGTTGGCGATGCGTCGGTGTTTCGGGTCTAGGGTTCTCGTGCCTTTGTCCGCGGTACTACCGCGGACTAGCTCTCTGCCCGCGCTATTCCCTACGTCTTCCTTAGCTTTGTCCCTGACAGGCCTGGCTGGCAGTTTTACCACCCCACCTCGCGACGTGTCCTGCCCTCTCAGGACGTCACGTTCGACGAGTCGGTTCCCTTTTACCGTCTCTTCCCCTACCGCACTACCCCTCTCCCCCCCCCCCCACCGCTCTTCCTTGCACCAGGTCCTCCTCCGGTAGACCCCCTCCCCCCTCAGGGTCCTGCTCCCTCAGGTGTGTCTCAGGTAGACGCTGTCGAGCCTGTCGAGGTAGCGGTTGACTCTGGTGCTGCTCCTGGGGGTGGTGCTGCTGGGGGTGCTGAGCCTGAGCGTGCGGAGCCTGGGGGTGCTGAGCCTGTGCGTGTGGAGTCTGGGGGTGCTGAGCCTGGGGTTGCTGAGACTGAGGGTGCTGAGTCTGAGGGTGCTGAGCCTGGGGGTGCTGAGCCTGGGGGTGGTGAGCCTGAGGTTGCTGAGTCTGAGGGTGCTGAGCCTGGGGGTGGTGAGCCTGAGGGTACTGAGCCTGAGGGTACTGAGCCTGCGGTTGCTGAGTCTGCTGGAGTTCCCGCAGGTGCCACGTCTCGGCGGGAGACTCCCTTTCCTCCGCAGCTACGCGAGTGGTTTGCTCGCCGCTGGAGACTCCAGCGAGGAGCTGCTGGAGCAGGGGGACCTGCCGCTGGAGCCCCTGGAGCTGGAGCTGCTGGTGCTTCTGGAGCTGGGGGTGCTGCCGGCGTTGGCGATGGAGCTGCTGGAGAATCTGGTGCCGCTGGTCCCGGAGGTGCTCATACTGGAGGTACTGGAGCTGCTGGAGCTGGTGGTGTTGCAAGAGTTGGAGCTGGAGGTCCCGGAGCTGCTGGAGCTGGGGGTACTGCTAGAGCTGGAGCTGCCGGAGGTGTTGGAGCTGGTGTTACTTCTGGCGTTGGAGCTAGAGACCCTGGAGCTGGGGGTACTGGTGCTGTCTCTGCTGGTTCTGTAGGCACTGCGCGACCGCGGCCATACTTCGTTCCACTCCTTCGGCAGGTTCTTGGCCTCGCGCTTTCTACTGGTCCCACTCCTCCCTTACTGTGTCCACGCCTGCCCCGTCGCAGTCGCAGCTACAGCCAGCCTCTCCGCTGCCTGGTCCTTCTCCTTACCCTGGGCCGACTAGAGGTCTTACGGAGCGTCGTAAGCCTGAGTCTCGTCCTGCGTCGCCTGTTCGCAATGTTTGCACTGGTAGTCGTGTTCCGCGTCAGCGTCCTCCAGCTGTCCCAGGCACGCACCAGATGGCACTTCGTCCTTCCACTGCTCCACTGCGTGTCCCTTTGCCGTCTCCTCCTGAGTCCTCTCTTCTTGGCGTCCCTGACCCACCGTCGGACCTTGCTCGTGCTGCCAGTCCCAGTGTCACGCGTCTTCTCGCTACTGTTGTCACTGACCCTTCGTTTGAGTCCACTACTACGTCTGCCCTAGTTGCTGAGCTTGTTGACTTTGCTGCCGCCTGTCGTCTCGACTACGCCGCTAGTCTTGATGCTGAGTCTGAGTCTGTCTGTCCTCCATCCGTCGGGGGTGAGTGTGCTCTTGGCACGGACGTCCTTGAGGATAGACAGGAGGAGTTTGAGTGTTTTTCCGCTGCTTTACCTCATCTCGTGTCCATGCTGCTTGCACCTGAGGGAGACCCGGATGCACCAGACATCCCGAACTCGCGCTCTTATGCAGAGGCGATAGAGGGTCCCTACTCCTCTCAGTGGCAGACAGCCGTGGACGCAGAGATGGCTTCCTGGAAGTCCACAGGCACCTATGTCGATGAGGTTCCCCCACCTGGGGCGAACATCGTCAGTGGCATGTGGATTTCCAGGGTGAAGCGGCCGCCGGGTTCTCCGCCTGTCTTCGAGACGCGTTACGTTGCACGAAGCTTCAGTCAGCGAGAGGGAGTTGACTTCTTCCATACCTTCTCCCCTACCCCGAAGATGACCACTCTTCGGGTTCTGCTGCATGTCGCTGCTCAGCGTGACTACGAGCTTCATTCTCTTGACTTCAGCACAGCCTTCCTACAGGGCAGCCTGCACGACGAGATCTGGCTGCGCCGCCTACCTGGCTTCACTGGGTCGTTTCCGGCTGATACCTAGTGGAGCCTCCGGCGGCCAGTCTACGGTCTCCGCCAGGCGCCCCGAGAGTGACACGACACACTGAGGATGACTCTTGCGGCTCTTGGGTTTGCTCCTTCTACTGCTGACACGTCGTTGTTTCTACGCACCGACACCTCTCTGCGGCCGTTCTACGTCCTCGTGTACGTTGACGACTTGGTTTTTGCTACTGCTGACACTGAGGGACTCGCCCACGTGAAGTCGGAGCTGCAGAAGAGACACACGTGCACAGACCTGGGTGAGCTATCTTGGCTTGCAGATCACTCGGGACAGATCACAGCGCACCATTACCTTGACTCAGTCACACATGGTGCAGCAGGTCCTTCAGCGCTTCGACTTCACGTACTTCTCGCCAAAGTCCACTCCTCGGCCTACTCGCCACTCGCTCTCAGCTCTACCTTCAGATGAGTCCGTAGAGCCGAGTGGCCCGTATCCAGAGCTTGTGGACTGCCTCATGTACTTGATGACCTGCACTCGACCTGACCTGGCATACCCTCTTAGCATCCTGGTACGCTATGTTGCTCCTGGGAGACACCGGAAGGAGCACATGGATGCCGCTAAGAGGGTGTTGCGCTACTTGTGCAGTACGTCGGGCATGGGGCTCGTGCTTGGAGGACGGGCTCGAGTTGTCCTCACTGGTCACACAGACGCTTCCTGGGCAGACGACTTGGCTACGCAGCGGTCGTCACAGGGTTACACTTTCAGCCTTGGCTCCGGCTCTGTATCGTGGCGGTCGACCCGCTCGTCTTCTCTTCTCAGCTCCACCTGTGAGGCTGAGATCTACGCAGGGGCCATGGCTGCACAGGAGTTACGCTGGCTCACCTACCTACTGTACCTGGGAGAGCCGCCTCGTTCTCCTCTTGTTTTGTATGTCGACGACAATGCCATGATCGCC